TAGTTACCTGCAACATTAGTCTTTGGGGCAACCCATTGTGTTATTGAAATTGGCATCCTTCAATTCCTTAAGATGAAATCTGCTTCCTTGTCGCTTTTACCTGTGGGGCTAGTTCTGTCCGTTGGGATGGCCCAGAATAAATCCAAGTCACATTCTAACCTCAAAGAATTTAAGATAATGTTCTAGTACTTCTAGTTTAATATAACATGTGACCCATAGCTGCCAAAGATCCTCTCCCAAATTTATACTAAAATACTCAGAAAGATATAGAAAAGGGGAAAACTCACATTGCCATCAAAAACTGAGATTGAGGGAGTAGAAGTATAGAAGGAAATTTTCGTGAAAATTTATGTTCTCTTGGAGTAGGAAAGACCCTTTTGAATTTGACACCAAAGGCAGAAATTATGAAGATTTATAGATTTGACTATGAAATTATAGATAACTTCAAGGTATTTTTAAAAAGTTACAAAGTAAATGACAAACTAGGAAAAACTTCGGTGCTCTCTCTCTCTCTCTCTCTCTCTCTCTCTATATATATATATATATATATATAAAATGTTAGACTTTAAGTTTCATGAGTAAGCACCTATACTTAATGCACAGCACAGGATCTGACACATAGTAGGCCCTCAAATCATTTGATTAATGTATGAATGAAGATGGGTTAAGAAAATAACGACATAAAAATCAACACTGAAATATCTACTAGAAAAATGGTCCAAACCACGTATAGGCAATTGATAAACAAGAAAATAAACATTAAAAAAATTGTTCCACCTCACTAATAATAGAAAATGAGAATTAAATTAGCACCTATCAAATAGGTAAGTTTAATAATGTTGGTGAGCATCTTGGGGAGATGGGCTTTTCAAAGATGCTGATGGGAGAGTTAATTTGTACAATCTTTCAGGAGGGCAATTTGACAATATGTGTTAAAGCTTTAAAATTCTACATGCCATCTGATGGAGTAGAAAGCTGGACACTTTGTCCTCAGGAAACATTCATGACTGTGCACAATGATATGGCAACAAGGATACTGACTGCAGCTTCCTTTACACTAATGAATACTTGGAAATAAATAGCCAAAAGGGGAAGATGCTGTCATTAAAATGATATTATGCAAGGGTATGTAGTGGCATGGAAAGATTACTCCTTGAATATGGTGAAGTGATAAAAAATAGGTTACAAAATGGGATGCATCACATCATGACCAAGAAAGGACCAAGATGAAGCTCTCACGGTCCCTTTAATTATTTCTTTCTTGGATTGAACATTCTAAATTGCTTCAACCATTTGTCCTTGAAAGATGAGCAAATTTTCTGAACTCAGAGTGGCCAAAGTGTGCAGGAAGCCTTGGGAACCATCCTGGAAAACGTTCATGGGACACAGGTTCTAATTTCCAAACTTTCTTGCTTAGTCTCTGTCGACTGTCTTTGGCTTTGGCAATGCCCCCTTTTTAAAGGTCTGGCCAGAACTTTTTGTATTTTTAGGGACACCATGGGAACGACGAACAATATTGCCAAGCTAACAGACATTTGCTACGTAGAGAGGATGGGAAAGGCATTCCAAGCAGAGAAACTTAGCAAAGGCACAGAGACACAAAAGGTCCTGGCACGTTCAGGGCATGGCAAGTAGCTAGTTTCATGTGCTCAGAGCCTATGTGGAGGTGATGAGGGAACTGGGTGAGAAGCAGATGAGATGGAAAGGGAGGCCTTTCTATTAATAAACCAAGTTAAGAATTTTGGGCTTTTCCCTAGCTTTTGCAAGTCTGAAGCATGGTATCGTTGAGATCCATGTTTTAGAAGGGAGACTATGGTGACTGCATACTGGGAGCAGGGGAACATCATATACTTAGTGAACTTTAACAATCTTAGGATCAGATGTGTTGCTGGTTTGCTATGGAAGTGGTTTCTTGCGGTGCTTTCTCGTTTATGTTGGCCCAGGGATTTTCTGGTAGGCTCCTAGGAACCATGGAGCCGTGAGCTCACCCAGGCAGAAAGAGGAGGATGGGTGATGGCAGATGGGAAGCATTCACATCCCCAGCTGCCATCCAGTCATGTTTTCCCTGACCTGGAGCGTGGACAGCTCTGGGGAGGTGGAGGCACTCTGGCCTTTCAGCAGCCTCAGAGGCTCTGTTGGTGGGCTTGTGTCTGCATCTGCAGGACTGGGGTGGGTTAGCTGTGGGGAGGATGGAGGAGACAGGAACAGAGGAGGAAGAACTGCCAGGTTTCTACGAGGTTAACATATGTTTGAAGCAATTCAGAATGTAACCAAGAATGTAATTAGGTGATTTTTGTTTTTGTTTTGTTTTAAAGGAAAAATTCAGAACCTGTGACTCTTGTTCATGAGCACATGCCTGGATGTAGTCATTTTGAGTTTATGGAAAATGTGGTCAGCCCCATAAATCAATGCTGAGGAATTCTTACAGAGTCATCACCGTGCAAGCACTGCAGGTCTCTAGTGAGTCTTCTAAGGTTATGCAAGACAAAACAGAAAAAGCATGTAGACAAAGCTACAATACTGTCTTCCCTTCCCCTGGAATTCTTTCCTGAGTAGCCACAGGCAGCTCTGAATTTGGGCTCTTACTTAATCTGTGACAGCTTTCTTGTGTAACTCCATGTGTACATCAAAATGTCTGTGGCAGTCACCATGACTACAAAGTCACAATTCTCTGCATCTATTTCTCTCATATACCTTATAATTTTAGCAAGACTTCTATAAAGAAAGCGCATTTAAGAGTAAACTGAACAATCATGACTTGTCACAGTGCTGACTATATGTTAAAAGGTATCTTAATTCTTAAACTTCTTGTACCTGCAATCTATTATTTTGCATGATTGGAGAATTAAAGTTCAAGGTGGTATTGTGCTTGTCAAAAACATGGAACATCTCCAAATGTTATCACAAACTTTCATTCATAATTAGTAAAAAAGAGATTCAATTTAGGTGTGATTCATTGAGGAAATTCCATCAGTTTTTATTCCATTGTTCTTGGATTTATATAATCAGCCTGTTGCCCCCAAGCAGTGTTCTTATATCTTATAAATGATAATATTTCTTTCTACCCTTCGTTTTTCTTGTACCCCTCCCATTTAGGTTGACCCAGTTTTTGAATTTGTTTCTGCCAAACTGGTCAGTGGAGAGTGAAATGTTAACATATTTTAGTGGAGATGTTCTTCAGTAGCTCTGGAAAAAAATGGGATTATATACTGTACCAGCATGTTCTGTCATGAAAAATAGTACTGCTGAATACCAGTTTATGTATTTTATTATTTTTTTCTTAATCTGTTAGAGGAGTCTCATGGATGCTACAAAAAATTTCTTCATTTGCCACAGAAATCAGATTTGTGATTTATAAGACCAAATACCTCCCTGAGTACTAACTTTAAGCCCTATGCTCACTTCTGTTAACTGTGGAGTTTTTACTTTAAGATTTGGTATAGAAATTTGTACTTGTTGACTGTCACAGACAGAAGTTCAAATTCCATATGCCATGAGGGCCACATCAATCCAGTATTTATATGACCTGGTTTCATGTTTGTACTTGCCTGCTATCCCTGCCACAGCTTGGAGCAGGAGCAGCTAATTGGGCAGTAGCCTGCACAAGCTATAAAACTTTGCACCAAATTCCCTCAGCCACAAACCACCCATTGTCACCAGGTGCAAAGGGAGCGGGGTTGTAGGGCCTATCTACCAGGCTGTGCTCTGGTGTTTATTTGCTGTGCCATGTTAAGGGATGAGCAGAGTAAAGATGGGGACTCTCTAACACAAACCAACTGCATTAACCATCCACAGACAGAGCAGCCCAAAGTAAATGACCATTAAGAATACCTGCCATTGATTGAGCATTACTAAGTAAGTGTTCAACCGTGGCCCAAACGCTTTACAAGCGTTACCTTCCCCAACCAGCTGCACTATGAAGCAGTTATTGTCAACCACTTTTTTTTTTTTTTAAGAGACGGGGTCTCAATACATTGCCCAGGCTGGTCCCAAACTCCTGGGCTCAAGCAATCCTCCTGCCTCAGCCTCTCCAGTAGCTGGGACTACAGGTGCATGCCACCATGTCTGGCTCTCATCTATTCTATAAAGATGAAGTGGAAAGAGGTTAGGGGACTTTCCTGGAGTTGTCCAGCCAGGAAGGTAGTGAAGTTGAAACCCACATCTGCTTGATTTGAAAGGAGTTCTAAATTAGACACCTCTATTTTGCTTTTGGGTTAAAGTGCCTGATTTCCAAGGAAGCAAGTGGAAGATACAGGTTGCTGGTAGTTGAGGGAGAGTTTGGTCCTACATTTTGCTCTATAAAACTTGCAGAAAAGAGACTAGCTCTTACAAGAAGAAACAGCGATGGTGTCATTTCAGCAGAACCAAAGTTGTTTCCAGTATTGTTACTTACTGTCTGAACCAGAAGAGGTTATTCATCCTCTCTTGTCCTTCATTTCCTCATTTAGAAAATGAAGGCATGTGCTGGTCTCTAAGGTCTCTGCTGGCTCCACCTTTTATAACTCCTCTTGGCTGGTGACACTCCAAGCTTGGTCCTGACAGTGCCTAGACAAATCTTCCCTCCTCTGTGGTCCTGGACCAGTTGGGCCCAACACCCGCCGGAAGATGGTAGGAGTTTCCTGTGGCCCCGTTATTCCCTCACCCCATCCTGGAGGCACTGGCCCCCTGTTCCTTACCACTGGCCCAAAGTACCAGCCAGGCCTACTTTATTCACTCCCTATGCCCATAAATTGAGAAGCTCAAGTTCTAGGAATCTAAATCCAACATATCTCTGTCAAAATCCTTTTCAGAAAAATAAATCAAAACTCAAGGTCATATAACAACCAGAACTTTGAAAATTAGTATCTGATTTGTCACAACATTAAATAATAGCTGGATTTGTATATCTGAAGTTATTCTAGTTCTTCTCTAGGATCGAAAATTATTCTATTAATAGCTCTACAAAGAAAGAGGGAGAGAGAAAAAGAATGTGCATGTGTGTGACCGTCAATGAGTCCTACCGTGTCTCCTGGCTGTGGACGCATCACAGACACACGATCATATCCTTTCCTCAGTAGGACCCACAAAGCATCGAGTTTTCCCTGAAATAAAACAAATGCACCAAGATTACACATGAAACCAGACCAGTGGCTAGTCACCGTAGGCATGTAGGCACCATGCTTCTTCAGTCATGTGAATGACATAGCACCAACAATATGGCTGTGATGGGATGAGTGACTCTTCAACCCCTAAGTTCGGAATTCAGGCTTCATGTGTGTAGGAGGAAAGAGACACACAACAGAGGACTCTGATACTTGCGAAGGATGTACTCTGAGACCCGAGTGTAGCCCCAAATTTGCATACACAAATTTCTTTCATGCTCTTGGCTTTTGTCCTTATCACATTTCTGGGCATATCCTCCCACCACAAATCAATCTTTTCAACTTTTCACTAAAGTTTTTTCTTCCCAATCAGTGCCCAGAATTCATAAATGAAGACAATAATGACAAATTTGGGAAAGTAACTAAACATTAGTGTTGACAAGGCAAGATCAATTTAAGGCCTCTGGGATGCGGATCTCTGGCTGTGTGCTGATCACTCAGCAGCTATAACTTGCTCAGGAGCCCAGGCTTGGGAGACAAATTACCAAACATCACAGTCACAGATTACCAAAATCACAGCCCCTTTGGGGTTGTGTGTAATTGGCCGAAACTGAGAAGAGTGAATATGTCAGTGGCAAAGTTTTCATAGTTTATGACAAAGAGCACCCTAAAGATGACTTTGTTCCCTGGCAACTGTGAATATGTTACCCTACATGGCAAAAAGGACTCTGTAGATACGATTAAGTTAAGGATCTTGAGATGGGGAGAGTACCCTGGATTATCTAGTGGGCCCAATCTAACCACATGGGTCCTGGGGGGAGGCAGGAAGGCCAGAGGAAGAGGAGATGTGCAAGCAGAGTCAGAGTGACTCAGTGTGAGAAGGACCAACCCAATGTTGCTGGCTTTGGAGATGGAAGGGGCCATAAGCCAATGAGTGCAGGCAGCCTCTAAATCTGAAAAAGACAAGGAAGCCAATTCTCTCTTAGAGCCTCCCAAAGGAACACAGCTCTGCCAACACCTTGATTTTAGCCCACTGAGACCCATTTTGGGTTTATGACTTCCAGAACTGTAAGGTAATAAATTTGTGTTGTTTAAGCCTTTAAGTTTGTGGTAATTTATTATGGCAGCCATAGGAAACCAATACAGACCTTGTCATTCCCAGACATATTCTATGTTTATTTGCTTATTACATTGACTGCCACACTAGAAAAAAAAATTTTTTTCCTTGGGGCCATGGTGTTTTATTAGGAAAATAGAATAAAACTTCGAAAACAAAACTTTCCTTTCTAATTTAATGAAAAAAATATTTTTATTGTTTTCTGTGTGTGAGTTATATGCAACTTGAAAAACAGTTCACGTGGGTCCCAAGATAAAGAGACATGTGAGTTACATATGCTTCGTGAGGCCCTGGGCTCAAAACTAGCATAAGTTTAATATAACTCACATGGCAGTTAATGTGTTACCATCTGTCTCTGCCCACTGAAATGCCAGCTCAGTGAAAGCAGAGGTAGCTTTGGTTTTGTTCACTTCTGCATGCCTAGCCCTTATGACAGCATCTGGTGCTCAATATATATTTGTTGAATGAAATGCTCCTAAGTGCTACAAGCTTTCACCTGTGTCCTCTCAGTTAATTCTCCCAGCAGTCCCAAAGGGTTGTGGAGAGGAAATGGAGGGCCAGAGAGATTAAGTAACTTGCCCAAAGGCACACAGCTTAGAAACTGGAGCGTTGTGACTGGAACTCAGGTCTGTCTAATCCCAAAGCTCATACACTTTCTATTACACCAACTGCAGATTCTTCTGCTTTCAGATCTTCTGACTGGAGTGCTCTATTTTAGATCCTTTAGAATAGGGTTTCTAAACTGTGGGTTGCAACTCTTTAAGCCCTCATGAAACCAATTTTGTATATTAGGACCAGAATTTTTAAGAAATAAACTAGAATAGAAAAAGAAATATTAATTGCACATGGTGAGGATAAGTATTGTTTTGTGAAAAATTTTTTCCAGTTAAATGTGTATGTGTGTGTGTCTGAGTGTGTGTGTGCGTGTGCATGCGTGGACATATACTGGGCCAAAATGTAAAATACATTTCTTAGGAATGTTTGAAAACCATAATCTGGAAGAGGTCTTGGAATGACAGCGCTGGAAAGGCTGGTGAAGTCTAGAGAGTTCAAGTTCTTGGACACAAAGCATTTGTAATGGCAGTGTTAATTTAAGAATCATCTCGAAGACTTCAAGTTCTGAAATTTTCTGGTGGGTTATATATACACATAAAAAACTGTGTTCTTGAAACTTTATCAACCGTCGTTCGAGTTCTTGTGGGTTAAACTTTGTGTTGCCAAGTGTAGTGTTTCTCATCTCTTTTGGCAAGGAATTTACAAAAGCCTTTAAAAATATTTTGAAATGACTTTAGAATGCTGGATAGAACTGCTGCTGCGTGCAGCATAGTTTTTTTGCATTAAACCGTTTCGACCATCAGCTGAATGTTTTCCTTGAAGGTTCTTTGGGATAAGCATTTATATTTCAGGATCTAATCAGGTGGATTTCCTAGATGAATGCCTCTTTTTCTTTCCCTTTTTTTTGGAGGGGGAGGACTCTCAGTATTTGGCTTTGTAAATCAGCCCACCCACAGCGCTCGGTGCGCTAATCACTGAACTCCTTGACAAATGAGGAGCAATGAGATGGGGCTAAAAAAAGAAAATTTGGCTGTCAAAGAAGTGTGTTAATTAATTCAGCAGAAATGTAAAGCTCCATGCATAGCATTAGAGCAGAAACCACCTAGAGGTACGCAGGGAGAATGGGTAGTAACACAGTGTAGCGTTCAAGCACAAAGTGACTAATGCCAGACTGCCCGAGTTTGCCTTCTGGGTCTCCTCTTCACCAGCTCTGCAGGTTGGACAAATTGTTTCATTTCTCTAATTCTTACTTTTCTCATCTTTAAAATGGAGATCATAATACCATCTACTCTATAGACTTGTTATTAATATAAGGTCCAAAATTAAATGTTGAAGTTGGGTGCTTGTTTCAGAGTAACAGAGCAGCTCTCTTGCCGCCTTGTCCTGTCCACCCCTGCCCCATCGTCTCCACAGCTCCCGCCTCGGCGCAGGCCCTCATCTTCTATCACGCTTTCTGTGGAGTTTCCTGATTGCCCTTTTACCGCCAGGCTCCCTGTTCTCTCTCCTTCTATTGGTTAAGAACCAAGTTCCTTGGCAGCCCAAATGGATGCACTGCAGTTATCAAAATCAACCATGAAACATCTTACTAGCAGTGTGAATTTGGGCAAGTTACTCAACCTCTCTGTGCCTTGGTTTTTTTCCATTTGTAAAATTAGAGTAGTAGTAGATTCTACTTTTGAGGGTTGTTCTGAGAAATAAAGGAGTAAGTGCACGGAGAGCACTTGAAACCGTGCCCAACCTGTGGTGCCTGTTTCATCCAGGTGAGCGCTTGTCACTGGGCTCTTCTGGCCAAGGTGACACTGCCAGTTGCAGCGGAATCTTCAGCATTTTAAGCCCTGGCTGTCCCACAAACGAACCCAAAGCCCCAAAGTCTGTAGCACAGAAAACGATCTGGGCAATCTACACAACCTAAACTTCTTTCCACTCCTCCGTTAGGTAGCTTTTCATGCAAGAGTCGATGTGAGCTTTGGAAAAAGAGTGTTTACAACGAAGATGAGGATAAAAAATAACTCTCAAAAGTAAAAGAGAAATGCATGACAAAGGCTCCAGAGCCTAGATTTTTCTGTATGTGCCCAGCAGCCTGTTATTTAAAGACAGCAGAGATGGGCTAGGTCCCTTTGGGGCCAGAAGTGCCTCAGGGAGATTCTTCCAACCAGTCCCTGCGCTTTACGTGAAGTTCGAGAGGAGCCTTCCCAGTTGGCTCCACCTCGTTTCTGTCAGATCTGGCTGTTGGACTTACGGAAGCCTCTCCTCAGGATGCGTCTAAGACACTGGTCTGTGCTCCCCAGGCAAAATGCCCAGCTGCTTCTGTGAAGCTAAGACAAAGATTTCTCCACAAGCCCCGGAACCCTCCGCCAGAGTGTATTAGCTGACATTTAAAAATAGCTTCTTTCATATGAAGTTGACATATTTTGACTATAAAAATGAGAAATTTACCAACTAGGGCTCCCAAACAGTATCTTAGCCTCAGACAGTAATTTCCAATCCACGAGGGCAGACAAAGTGGAAGTTCTGTGGAAACCATAGCTTTTGTTTCTCTCTAAACAAAAGCCTGTGCCGAACGATTACGCAGCCAGTGCTCCAAGCACCCTGGGGCACGGGTGTCTGGGGCTGGGTTTTCTCTTTTTTTTTTTTTTTTCTTACCAGGCAACAGCTGTGTCTTCTTTTCTGGTTTGTCTGCCTTCGTTTGTTGGAAGTCAGAGATTTAGAATTTTGAGAGTAGTTTGATTTATAGGGCCACTGTAGACTGACGCTTGATTTTTTACACCTTGAAATACATGGTGAATAGTGTGACTTAGGTTTCTTCTCAAATGAAATAAATTAATGGATAAAATTAGAAACTTTCGCTACACACACACACACACACACACACACACACACATCCCCTCGGGCTAATTTTTGTTTTGTGCTTTTTCTTTCCTTTTGGTCTTTCTTTAAGAAAAGTTTGGAACCTTTCTACAAAGTAGCCAGAGAGGGCCCAAATCTGTTCAATATCAACAGCACGTTTGACAGCGCTTAATGCTCTGGCTGCTCTTACTTGGCTACACGCAGCTTCATCCAGCATGGTTTCAAGGCTGAATGCTGCTTGACCCCAAGGCCAAGGTGATAAGGCCCAGGAAGTGAATAGAGACCGCCCCCCTCTGGGCCCTGCAAACAGCACAGGCCAACTTGACCCCTCAGAGCCTGGCTTTTGTCCTGCAGCCCTTACTTCTGCCATTTCTAGTCATGGGGAGGAACTACTGGAGAGGGAGAAAAATGGTTTCTCTGAAGGCTGCAAGCCTCCGACAAACCTGAAAACAGTTCTGGTTTTAATCTATCTGGTGGCCATATATTTGGGCATGACTTAACTTGTCTGAAATGGTCAGTCCCAATTTAATGAGAAGCATGGGGTGTTGTAAACCCAGGGGGTGAAAACCGAGCAGAGGAAAATGCAGGCTAAATATCAGGGAAAATTTCCTGATCATGAGCCAGGAATGAGGAAGAGGGGAGGTGTGGTCTGTGTGGTCAGTACCTAAATTGTCTAATGGGGATGGCGGGTGGAGGAGAGCCCACTGGGGGACCTCTTCCCTCCATGAGTTCCCACGGGTTTGCTTGGCAAATGTGCTCACCTGCTTCTCAATTCCATGTCATGTAATGCGTGAAAAAAGCGAGTCCAGTGCAATACAATTCAGTATGTATATGTTCCTGGCCACCTTGACTGGGGACGTAAGAGTCTCCCCAGTACCTGCTGAAAGTTTCGTGCTGGGTGGAGGTGTTCTCCCTGCTCACAGTGGGGAAAGAAGGGGGACGGAGAGTGGACAGGTCCTTCTCCCCGAGCTGCCTGCCCCATCCACTCTGCCTTTCTCTGCCTTCCCTGCTGGGTGCCTGGGAAGCCCTGCCTCTGCATCAGCTGGCTTCCCTCTGGTCGGGCCAACAGGTGGCACTGGAAGGAGATGAGCAGGCGAGATGAGAGAGAGGTTGGGGTATCTGTTCCTGCTCCCTCCCTGCCTCCCTGCCTCCCTGCCTCCAGTCTTGGCTGCATCCTTGCAAACATTTTCTGTAAAGGGCAAGAGAGTGAAGATTTTAGGCTTTGCAGGTCAAGTGGAAAAATCGGGGATACTATGTAGGTACTTATATAACCATTTAAAAATGTAAAAACGATTTCTTTGCTTGTAGGTCATATAAAAACAGGTGGTGGGGTGGATTTAGAGTGCCGATTCCTGCTCTGTGGCTGCAGCTCCCACGGGTGGTCTTTTTGCCAGGGCTGCAGTTCTCCCTGGGCTCCAGTAACACCATCCCCTCTTTGGCCTGCAGGCCTAGGAGGGAACAGCACTGGCTGTTGCTAGTCCCAGGGTATCTCACCATCCCTCTGGGTTCCCTTAACCCTGCCCGCACTTCTGCTAAACTCTTCTGAGTGTACCTTCTGTCCCCTACCAGGCCCTGGCGAATGCAGGGAGAGGGTTCAGGAAAAGGAGACAGGGTTTATGGTACTACATGAGGCTAAATGTTTTGTCCAAGGCCTAGCAAATGTTGCAGGCACTGTGGCTAGAACGTGACCCATGATGGGGCACGGGTCGTGTTGAACAGTGTGAACGCTGACGTTCCGGTAGCAAGTCTGCCTCAATTCCGCACACGGTGTACGTTACTCTTGGAGTCCTTTCTGTGCTTCTGTTCTCCTCGTTCCCACCTTTCCCTCGCCCAACCAGCACAGACACACCTAAGATGACCTCTTCTTCTCTCCTTTTGTCAAAGAGATGGCAAGAAGAATGTCAGCTGCCTGGACAGAGTGTACCAAAATGATCTGTGGGGTCTGACTGGCATGATGCTCTGGGAGTGGTTTCATAATTACATCTCATGCCTCAACTCTCTAGTAAGAGACAGTGGAGTCCCTCCTTTGTGCCAGGTACAGTGCTATTTATTGGGGATTCAAAGCATCACTGGTACCTGCAGGGGGTCAAATCTGGTGGGGAGCAGGCTCACAAACTTGAGTAATCACACCGTCTCCTACCTAGCAGAAGAAGCTGAGTAAGCGCTGGCATCAGCTTCCAGCCCAGAGGAGCACTTGCGCTTCTCATGTTCTAACAAGGAAGCCCTGCTGAGGAGCTCAGCAAGTCCACCAGCATCATAGGCCTTTTCCATCTGGCCTTCTGGGTGACTCCACGGCATTCAGATTCCCAACCACTTACCATTAATCCAGCAGTTGTAGTAAAAATGGACCCAATGTGAAATCTAATGTGGGTCTCATTGCTCAGACTCCTGACAATCACGGAGGTATGATCATGGCCTCTTTGCCTACTTTACCAATCCAGGCACCAGTTTCCATCCTCCAGAAACCTCCTATGCTGGCTGGAACCTTTGGTGACAACTTTTTCAATGGGCTTGTTAAAACCCAGATGGCTGGGCCCCACCTCCAGTTTCTGACTTAGTAGATCTTGGGTGGGGCCCAAGAATGTGCATTTCTACTAAGTGCTTGGGTGATGTGAATGCTGGTGGTCCAGGGATCAGAACAAGTGGTTTAACACAAAGACTGGGGGGCGGGGGGAGCTCGAGAGCCAGGCCTGTGGAGGCAGTGGGAACTAGGGCAGCACAGAAATAGTGCTTAGGGAGTTGAGATGTGAAATTTGGAGGCCTTGTGGACAAAAGAGCTTCACTTGATGAGAAAAAGCAGAGAGCCAGTGTGCTTTTGGAAGTCTTTTGAGAGACTCTGAGTCATTAGGCCTTGGAATTTGTATTTTTAAAGCCCTCCCAGGTGATTCTGATACTCAGCCAGGTTTGGGAACCTCTGTATATTTAGTATCCGGCAGTGCCTGTACATAGTAGGTGCATGACAAATACTCATTGCATTGATACTAATTCCAAGTGGGTGTTGGGAATGTTTTTAGATTTCCAAATGTATTTGTCCATATTATTTATTGCATAAAACTCAGTCCTCAATTACCAGTTGATAGAAGAATAGCGTGCTCTCAAGCAGAAATTGGATTCTTCAAGCAGAATTAATGTTCTCTCTTGGACATTGGCCCAAGATTACAGAAATGGAAACCTGGCTATAAGCAAAGATATTATGTTAGTCACAAGGTACAGATTCCTGAAAACGACATAATAGAAAATCTCCTTTCTTCTCCATCTCTGAGTTCTACTTGGCTCCTTCCTGTCTGCAAAAGCATGCACGCCACTGCATGTTCCCCATTAGAAAATAATTAGAAGCAAACAGCTGTTTAGTCAAGCAAGCTGGATTTTGCTCACATCTTTCCAGAGTTCAATCCATTGCTCCAGGGGGTTTATCTTAAAAAATAATCTCAGTGCTTTAAACATGGCAAACCAAAGTGGGAATGCATTGCAATTCATGGGAGCCTGAGCTAGCTTGGCTGAGAAAGGAAGACCACCAATAAAGTTTCACTACACTGTTTGAAACAGTGTTTCTTTTGATTTCATAGAAGGGCTGCCTCAAAATTAGCAAATGACTCAGTGAATGAAGAAAATGATCTTTGTTGCCATTGGAAGAGGGGCAAGGCTCCGTGTGTGTGTGTGTGTGTATGTGTGTGCGTGTGCAGGGGGTGGTGATGGGAGTTGGCTCTTATACTGAGTCTTTCACTGGAGGCCTTAGAGTTGGGGAGGCCTTGGGTTCCAGACCTGGGCAGAGCGAGGACTTTGTCTATCTTAGTGTTCTTCTGTATGAGATGAGGGAGTGGGGACAGATTATGTCTTTCCAGCTATGATTTTCTAGTGCTTTCTGACAATTGGCATAGTGCAGATGTTTATGGGCAAGGCTAAAGAGGGCGTTGACCAAATAACATGAATTACAGCCATTTGCACCCCAGAGGACTAGAAAAGAGGCCTTCCGGAAGCATGAACTGCCTCGTATGGCTTATACTCCCCAATGTGCCAAAGAAGATTTCATGCTCTAGAGCAGTGGGCGTAAGAGAGACGGTGGAAAAAAATGGAGATTTGCTCACAACCAGGAAGAGTGAGTCCTAGACCCATGGCCAGTGTGATTCACCAGTAAGCCCTGACACACTGGTGGGAGGCTTGAATAAAGGGGAAGGGGCTTATGTTACAGAAAAACGAGTCGAGATTAGCATCAAGGAGAATGCTGCCATTTTTGTTAGACAGTGGATTGTCTATTGAATGAAGTTGTGAGATCTTATGGAAATTTATGGTGACCGTCTGGGGTTACTATCCAAGTCACTTGACTCATAGTCCATCCTTATTCCACTACTTTGCCATGGTGATTTTTAAAAAGCCTAGTTTTCTGCCCTAATAATGTAGAAATTGAGTAAGTAATCATTCATACTTTCAAGTTCATAACTGTTCTCCTGCAATAAACTGGATTTTTTTTCCTTTAATAATGGAAACCACTCAAACTATGTCCTCTCCCTCTTACTCTCCCAGAGAAAGAGAAAAATGACATAAGCTGGATTTTGGTTTGGGATTTTGGTCATGTCCAAAGAGTCTAATTCTCAGTACGTAAGTGCTTTATCAGGACTGATGATGGATTTTTGAGTAGAGAGAGACACACCTTGATCGGAGAGTACCACTTCGGCGGGGAAGAGGGCCGCCGCATATTGTTGTTGAGATTTCGAGGCTCAGGGAATTCATACTCCTGCTCTGGCATCTTGACTCTTGCATTCTTTGCCTTTTCCAGTTTAGCGCCTTCTTCTGTGGAGCCTTTTTCCCCCCAACGAACCTAAAATAAATGAGATACAATAAAATAAGATGACAACATAAAATATGCTGCCCCTGGAAAGGGTGAATCACAGGTACCTGTGTGATGTGCGAGGCAAGTGCTACCCAACTCTCAATTCCTTTGGGTTTGGAGGGTCAGGGAAGAGAGGAGGTGTGGGGAAAAGGGAAGGGGGAGAGCAGAAGGAGCAGAGAGAGTGAGCCATAGGGATGGATATGTAGCAGGAGAATTGCCCAGGCAGTGTGGATGGCATGTGCAAAGGCCTTGCAGGCCCGGGTAAGAACTTTGGATTTTATTCAGAGAGAAAAGAAACCATGGGGAGGTTTGAGCAGATGAGTGACCCGCTCTGACTCAGGCTGGCAAGGTATGGGGGTGCAGTTAAAAGGCTGTGCCTCTCACCTCTCCAGCTTGCTGTCTCCCAATGCACATCCCTACCAGACCATAAGTGTGAGTTTTCACCGGTTTGCTTTGGGTTTCCATCATGGACTAGTCAGGACATAGATAAGTGTACGTTAAGTCATCCTCTTACCTCCATCCTTTTAATGCCTCCAACGCCTCGCCCACCGTAATATGAGGCGTCTACCGTAGGCCACTTTTTCTTAGGCAGACCATCGTCATCTTCTTCCTGCAGAGAGATTGAGACACATGAAGGAAGCGAAGCACCAGGGCTGTGCGGACATGCCCGCTGTGGGAAAGGAGACGGCAGTGGAGCTTGCAGAGTCAGACTGCCTGGCTTAAATCCTTGCGCTACTGCGAATTAGGACCCTGGGCAATCATTGAACCTACCTAGGCTTATCGTCCTCATGCGTACAGTGGGAATGATGCAGCCCTGCCTCGTAAGTCTGCGGCACAGTCCTGGGAACTGTTTTCCTCTACAGCTCTACTCCTCTGCAGGGCATCTCGTCCAATCCTACCTACATGATGAAGACTTTGGAGCTTTAGCCCTGAACTCCAGTTTAGCCTTTGAACTCCAACTGCTGACTTGACATTCATGTTTCTCTCAGGGGCTAATAAACATCTCAACAATACCACGGCAAAGAGAAGTCTTGGAATCCTCTCTTCCCCATGGCCCCCAACCCCCCACTCATCCCAGTTGGCCAGCCAGTTCTGCTGTCCCTGCTTCTGAAAGATTCCAATTCTATTGACTTCTCCACTTCCATCTCCACCTCCACCACCCGGGGCCTGAGCCCCCAGGCACTTTCTCCTTGGATACCCCGGTAGCTTCCTAACTGGCCTCCTTGCTGCCCTCCGACTTGCTACAATCCCTTCTCCACCACGCAGCAGAATAAGTCCAAACCCAGAAACCGCCCTGCGTGCTCTGGCCTTTACTCACCTCTCCGACTTCCTCACCACTCTCCCCTACCTGCACCCCGGCCTGCTTGCCCTCTCTCAGTGCTCACGTACTCTGAGCACATTCCTGTCTCGGAGCCTTGCACAAGCTGTCCTCTTGTCCACGATGCCCCCACCCCGTTTTCTCATGGCTGGATCTTTCTTATCACTCCTCGGAGGGGCCGTCCCTGGACGTTCTTCTAAAGTAGCCCCAGTCTCTTCAATTCATCAACCTGTTGTATTTTTAGTTATGGATCTTGTCATGGCTTGATATTTACTTATTGTCTGTCTCTCCACATTAGAAAGTATGTTCCACAGGAGCTTTTGTTTATCTGTCGTGCTCACTAGAGCATTCCCAGTTTTCAGAACAGCACTACTTAGAGCATGGGGTGGATGCCCAAGAATTATCTGTTGAATTTACAAATAAATTAAATGGGATGATTCCAATAAAGCGGTTAACTCAGTGTCTGCAACTTAGTGACAGGAAGTTAGTGTTTATAATATTTTTTAGATGAAGGGAGAAAACAAGAGGAACTTGTAACCTCATGGACAGGAAAGGGGAGGATAATTAGCAAGTGCTCCTCATCTTGGCACTGCAATTATTCCTGTCGTGGGGAGAATAATGTCACTGTTCACAGTCATGGAGGGATTACGATTTCTCTCCTAGGTAGAGAAAGGAAGCTGGAAAAGGGGTCTCCAAAACAGAGGAATGAGCCGAAGAGGACAAAATTGCTCAGAATGCTGAAGCTTGCTCCTTGCAGCCTTGTTTTGGTGGCAGCTGGGAAGTGGAAGAGTCCGGGTGGAGTCGTGTGTAGGGCCACCACTGTGTGGAACGGGACAGCTCATGCAGGAGGCAAAGCACAAAGCAAGCGCAAGAGAGATCAGGGCCAGAGGCGACAAAACAAAACAGTAACATGTTGGCAAATTAAGACTCACTGTGCTTGGGATGGGCAGGCTTCTTTTAAAAAAATTTTAAAAATTTAATATATCTTAAAGGACAGAGTGATCATAGAGGACTTGCAACATTCTGGCAGCTGACATGTGGGTTTCCCTCCCTCTCTCTTTTTAAAAGAGATTTGTCCTTCTTCAGTAGGGGACTGTGACCCCTCAAGGCAGAGTGGATTCTGTTGACCCTTTGCATTCTAAGTGCACATAGGTGCTCAATAAACATGTATTGAATTTATGATAAAATGCCACTGAATTTACGTAGCCTTCAGTTTGTATGTGCCAGTCACACTTGTCAGTGCTTTACATATATTAACACTTTAATCCCATCACCAGCCAGGGAGGTAGTGGGGGTTGTAATTCCCATTTTAGAGACCAGGAGTAGAGAGGTTAAGTCACCCAGCCCGTATGTGGCAGAGCTGGATTTGAACTTGGGCAGCTTTATTCTCAGTTTGGTTGTTTGTTAGTGTTGTCAGGTTCTGGGTTTTGTCCCTTTGTGCTTTGCTTTTCCAGTCATTTGATGGCATGACATAAATGCTAATTTTCTACTCTTTCCTTGTACCTGCTAATTTTGATGACTTACGACTGTAAAGCATGACAAAATAAAACTAAACCCCCAAACAATAAATTATTATAGTTCGCACTGTTTCACCTTATTTAATTGCAGAACATTTCTTTCACCTTATGATGTCAAAGCAAGAAACTTATGCGTGTTATATATACATATCGTTAAACTTTACCACTAGAGGTGGAGATATGTTTCTGTGTAAGTGTCTGTGCACATAGATACACAAAATAGGGCTCCAAAAAGCCTGGGTATTCCTGGTCTCGGGCAGTTTCCCAAAGGAGATAACAGAAATTCTATCCCCTAAAACTCAACACAGCAGCACCGAGAATGTAAGAAACTCCAATAAAGCTGCTTTATTCAACAGGGGACTGAAACAGTCTCATGAGCTTCCTAATTTTTTAATTTAAAGAAGTGCAAACTTTAGAGATTATCTAATTGAGACCTTTTCATTGCACAGAAGAGGAGTCAGATCCAAAAAAATGAAGTAACCAATGAAGGTGAAGTTCAGGTTTCCTGTTGTCTTGGCCAGGGATTTTTTTCTGTCCTGATAACTTTGTGATATGAACTTAAATAAGGATTTACGATTGGCTTTCTCTAATTTGCAAACTCCCTGAGTGCTAAGGATATAATAAGATGCATGAAGTTGGTTTCCAGCCTTCTCCAGGCTCTCTGGCGCCCTGAGCAGCCCTCCCTCCTGTCTCTGGACTCTCTGCCCTGGACCTGCAGCGGGTGGGGCCCAGGGAAGGAGGGCAGTACAGCCCCGGGTGCGCGCCCAGGGCCTGGCCTTCTCACAACAGGAAATGCCTAGACTTAGGAAATCTCCGCATGCTCCTGGTCCACCAAGCCCGTCATTTAGTCCCCTGACCCGAGACAGCCTGCCAAGCTCAGACAACAACAGCAAAAGGCAACACAAAGGCCCAGGGTTTGACCAACGGGACAGTCAGAGTTTCCCCTACACTTAGCATGGCTCTGTTTACACATTCTGGAGACGGGAGGGTTTTGCAATTCCTAGGAAGAGAAGGGAATCTTTGATGTGTCTTTTCATTTGGCCCCAAACGGATGAAGTGAAATCACATTTCCCAGCTAGGCCACTAAGAAACTCGCCAGCACCTGAGGGTGAATTCTTCATCTAATTAAAGTACAAAGGCTTTGGGGAAGTTCCCTCACACCACCCTTCAAGGATGTAGCAGGGAGGGCAAAAACCACCAGTATGGAAGTCCTCAGTGTGAGCTATCTTTCAGCATAAAAACCTCGACAGCCTCTTTGGTTACTGTAGGACAGGGCTGGATGAGCGAACTGCTCTGTGTGAGCAAGGTGGCAGGATTCAGAGGATGGGGGCAATCGGCTGAAGATGAGTAGAAGAGTGGGACTGAGCTACCAGCAAACTGCCAGGGACACACAAGGAGGTGGCCGCAGGAACCTCCTTGCAGTGGGAATGACAAGGATGTAAAGAGGGGCTGTTTAATATTCTTTCAGAAGTTACTTGTTGGCTGAGCTGTACTTCCAAACCTTTGGTAACAGTTGCTGTGCAGATGGCCTTGTGCCAGGGGCGATAGACGGTGTCTAGCAAACCAAGAAGATGAGATAACTGAGATAACGCAGAGGCAAGGAGTAGGAGTCAGTGGTGCCTGGGAGAAACCACAGAGTCTGGGGAGGGATGCTGGCTTCCCATCAGGAGGAAGTTATATTTAAATCGGAAAGGATGTGGTGGCCCCAGACGTCCAGTTGGCTGATGCTGGGATAACACAAGTGGTGGCTCATTCCTCGGAGGGCAGAGGCCCATTCTGACCTGCTTGTCCTCAGGCAGACCTGGGTGTGCCCCCACGCACAGTCCTGCTCGAGGAAGAATCAGCTGGAGAACATGAAGTCTGTGCGCTCACTTGGTTAGCCCATAATTGGATTAGTCTTGTGCTGACCTCAGACCCTGAACTTTTCCATCTTTCCCAGTCATGCCTGGCTTTTGCATAGCTCCAGGCCTCAACATTCAGGGCACCATATGCCTGGAAAACCTTTCCCTCACTCCTTCTACTTGTCCTTTAAGCTGTTGTTCAAATGTAACCTATTCTGCCAAGAACTCCCTGATTCCCCAGAGAATTCAATGCTCCCCTCTGTGTTTCTACAAGCTCCTGGTACTGACCTCCAGTTGCTCAACAAATATTTAACTGTTAGTTATTAAGCAAATCAGCAGGTGGAAGGGGAGAGGTCTTGTACCCTGCAGCTGCCTCACTCCTGCATGTAGACTGTGTACTGGACAACTTCACAGTCTTGATGTGAATAGCGCCCCCTGGAGTTGTGCAAATGGTGGCCCTCTTAGCCTCAACTGACAAGTTCTTTAACATTCCTCTCTCTCTGATATCCATTTGCTAGAAGAGCCAAACGAGCCACATGGCCAGTTGGACCCAAGTGGGCTCTCAACCTCCAGTTCACTGAGGGTACCAATGGGAACTCTTTATGAAAAGAAGCACATAAGTGAAACAGAATCAAGCCTAAGGCAATAGTTTTAAACCAGCTTTTGAATTAATTTTAAATTTCATTGAATTGGAGCACATCTTAAACCCATATAATAAGGCCTATATAGTGCCCAACCAGGGCCATTTAGTTGTCCCTTCCTCCACTCACTCAAGCAACTGCAGTTGAGCCCCCACCACTTGCTGGCACAGTGTTATATTTTGAGAAAAATAAAGAGAATGCAGCTGTCAACAGTATTGTTTACATGTATAGAGTAAGTTGTGTGAGGGTGATGATAGGAGCTAAAGGACTAAGGCTATAGAAACCCCCCAGGT